TAGTGTCTGAAGTCACATTCTGAAGTGCAGCGTCGCATGCAGCCATGTGGTACCCCATGTGGTATCCCTTGATAAACTGCTAATGGCTAATAGGCGCAAATTCAATGTGCGGAGAAATCGGCACCGAGACAGGGTTGGGGAAGAATCTTGCTCCGCTACTAACCGCTGTATACATCTTCAGCGGCATCTGAGAAACACGAGCAATATGTTAATGCATCTATTTGGCAATGTTTCGCTTTTGACGCAAAGGCTTGGTCACCTGGTCTAGGGAAGATTTTGAGTCAAATGCGATAGGTTATCAAATAAAGAAATGAATCGGTTGTTCACATATTTCTCTGGAACCATGATTTCTCAATCGGTTCCACAAACAGTACAAGAATTAATATATATTGCCGAATTACTTCGCTGCTCTCAACAAAACGATAGAAAGAGAATGAACCAAACGGTCGAGATCCAAATCCAGAACAGCTGCTAGTCAGTATGAAAGTCATGAACTGAACACCTCGGCAATACGAGTCACTTGTTTCCCCTTTAGTTCAGCAAAGCTGTTTCTCTTTATGCACACTTTGCTTCTGGAGTTGCTCATCTTTACCAGATAACTGAAGTAATGCTATCTGTGTGCATATTTGAGTAGTCGCAGTATAGAAAGCAGTCTACTGAACAGACATAAAGCCAAATATTCCATGGAAATCGCTAGAACGCAGCTCTACTTAAGGCATCATCGTGATGGCACAATGGTTGAAGAAGAATAACACACTTTAGCTACTGTGCCGCAATAAGAGAAGAGCAGAGGAGCATTTTTAGTTATTTTGCACACGCTAGTTTTCATTTTTTGGCTTTTGCAATTGTTAAGCATTAAACGTTTAATTCTAAACAATTATGGATCTCCTGCTGGTTTTGATTGAGTGTCACGTCCTGAACTGTTTCCCGCCATCGGCGCACCTTCTCATTTGGTCCGCAACCAGGCAGACTTGTAGATTCAATGGTGGCAAGAAGTGGAGTCAAAGATTTCATATGCTGTCCCCAGGCGGACGGCTGACCACCACGTGATCTCTTCCAGCGAAATCCTGCACGAGCAAAAACGTTGCAGTGGGGCAAACCTTCAGCTGACACGCGCACGACGTGACCAAACCATCTTAACAGAAGCAGCAAAATCAGTTTGTTAATGGGAATACTTGCATTCTCTAAGACATGACGTCTGACTTTGAAATTGCAGATACGTTGTTGCCACCACACAGGAACAATCCTCCGCAAGCACTGATTGTTGAAGGCCGAGAGCCGGAGCACGTCGTTTTCACGAACTGGCCATGACTTACTTCCATATAACCACACCGCGCACACATTCGTCTCGTAAACATGCCCCTTTACCAAGAAGGTGACATCCCGACGCCACTTGTTTAAAGTTAAAAACGTAGACCGAGCTTTGGCGGTGCAAAGTGAAACTTCCTTTCCAATGGTACCACTAGCAGATCCAGCTACTCAGGAAGACAAAGCTATGCACTTGCTCAAGCTGTGTACTATCAATAGTAAGCACGGGAACCGGTGAGAGTGCCAATAATGAAGCATCATTTTACGCTTTGATGGGGCAAAGCATCCAGATACCTCAATCGCCAAACGAACTAGAATGATTTGCATGTACTGTGGGTCATTACCAAGTAATGCGGTATCATCGGTATAATCTAAGTCGGTCGCTCGCCTTCCTGCTGTAGACGAAAATTTCGGTAACTGTCTAAAGCTCTTGAGAGGAGGTTTTCAATAGCAAACTGGAAGAGGAAAGGAGAAACAGGGCAGCCCTGTTGTACACCGCCATTGACAGCGAAGGACAAGGAAAGCCTGCCATAGACCCTCACTATGCCTGAGATGTGGAGATAGAGTGCGCGTAGGATGGCAATGCACTTTTCTGAGATTCCATTCGATGGCAAACAATGCCATAGTGCTGATCCATCAATCGAGTCGAATGCAGCACGGATGTCTATGAATGCAAAAATGGTAGACCTCTGGTAACGGTGGCGGTGTTCCATGATTCGGCGAAGCGTGAGTTTTGGATCCACACACCCACGGCCAGGTCGGAAGCCAGATCGTACATTTCGGTATTGCGATTCACGACTGGGAGATAGTCTACGGTTTAGAATGAATGCCAGTAGCTTGGAGGAAACCAAAATGAGACTAATCCCCCGGTGATTGGTACATGAGGTGCGAGCACTCTTCTTAAATTCGAGACAGTAACTGACTCGCCTCATGAAGATGGTACCATTTCTTTGTACCAGATTTTGCAGAACAATGAAGTTAGTTGGCAATAATAACTGAACCTCCCTAATTGAACAGCTCCGAATGAAGTCTATCTGACCCGGCAGCCTTGAATTCTTTTAAGTGTCGAAGCGCAAAGCAAACCTCCGTTTTGCTGGGTGGATCAAGCTTGACGACCCAAGGTGTGCAGCTGGGTTCACAGGGCATACAAGTGCGCGGTGAGGGCCAAATAAACTAGGTATGACTATGTTCTTTCCATTGATCCAAGCGGCTCTGTAAGATGGCGAACGGGAATCATCCGCTTTGCAAATATTTGTATCTTATAATCGTATTACAAAATGGAAGAGGAAGCCGTTTTACCACGTGTAGTTAATTGTGATCAGACAGGTTCTGGAGGGATGACATTGTAGAACCGTTATATCAGTAAACTGTTTTCATGGGCTCCCAGTGATGATGTGCGACATCCTTTCTAAGCGGCTGGCAAATGGACGGAGCTGCCACGTGTGAATGGGGAAGGATCAGGACTGCTGTCAGCAGCATAATTGTGTGCTAACTAGAGATGTTGCGAACCAGTAAGACAGGATGGTCTAACAGAAATGCAACCCTCGATAAAGACTAGGTAATACTTTCTAATCCTTTACAGATAACGACTTAACATTAACGTTTATGGACCATTTATCGACAGAAATGTGCTTGTGCTTTAGAACGGATTACTAGCACTCTCTTGCGGTGTTTGCTGTCAATAAGCTCTAAGGCATCGTAGTTCAGTTTATCGCAGGTTGAGTAACATGGATTAAGGGTTGGCTGCCGAAATTGGACAATTTGCTACGTAGATTATTGAGCTTTATAGCTTGATAACTACAAGACACTTGACTATCGCCAAAGCCTGTGGGACATGGAGAACTATAATAAGGCATGGAAATTAAAGGCCGCTTCTAAGTACCAAACGGTGCTGGTGGGGATGCTGGTCCAATCTGCTCCGCCTCAATGTGAGTTGGTTCATAGACTCCTTGGGCCGTACATGGCACACATGTTTGGAGCACATGCCAAACAGCACGCCGGCTAGAAACTCGACGTCAAAATAATTTCCTTGTGGTCTCTTATTTGATAGACACAGTCAGAAGTGTTAAACTCGAAAAACAAAGCTTCCATATGGAAAACGACTGTCGGTGTTTGTATCAACGAGATTACTGCTGACATCAAGCATCTTCATGTGAGGTACTTTGGAAAGCACACTTCAGATATGGCGGCTACAGATTCGTACTACATTAATAAATTCAAGATCATAAGGAGGTAAGGCGTCGAGTATATTAAGGGTCCGCTTTCCCCATTTCTCCCCGCAGTGAAAAATAGTGGCGTATATTTTACTATGACTATGTGAACCGAATGGCTTCATAGTAACAGAGAATCCCTTGCAGGTCTCGGAACCCGGGTTTCGAAATCTTCCATACGCGTCAGAAGACCAAACTAAGGAACTACCAGCAATATGTCGGCCGAAATGCTTTCAGCAATTGCTGCTATTCTTGTGTGAAAACTGGCTACTTGGTATTTTAGTTAAGACATTGAATAATTCAAAACTTCACCAGACCACACTGGTTGCGCTAAATCCCTAAATTAACCACAAGCGCATGAGCCGCGAAAGGTGTTTCTTAATAAAATTCTTGAAATAATATCACTAGAAACGTGTTTCTGTGTGCTCCGGTAAATATTTGGGTGATCATTCCGGATGTCGGTTTGTTTCGTTGACATGTTAGGTACGGCATTTGTAATCGTGAATTCCTAACTATCTGAAGAGGATAATAATTATTGAAGAAAATTATCCAGTGACGCGTCATTTTTCTAGTTTCTAACTCAGTGACTCTCAAACTTCGTTCAATATTAATGTTTGCAATCCCTTATTCTGTTAGAACTATCGAATGAATGAGGAATATCAGATCAGTTGCAGATAGAGCCGAGATTGCCATTGTTATCAACTTGCTATTAAAGAGCTGTAGAAAAGTATGACATACAAACTAGGAATCAAATGCATTTAAGCCGAAGTAGATTTCGCGAACATTCCTTTGCTTCCTTAGATCTGAAGTTATTAGTGCGCACACGTGGTTGACATTTTGGGGTACAAATAGCTGTAGTTTATTGGACAGAATATTAGCTCTGGTTCTTACGTAAAAGACAGTAAACACGATCATCCACACTGACGTCCTGGTCAAAATAAGGTGATTCGTTTGATACTCCGACTGAAAGAAAATGCAACCCAACTATTTGCGCTTCGCAGCACAATCAACGCGCTACACATTAGATTAAATCAAGCGGTCCATAGATTATATATGGTTCAAGCTAGCGGTTTCTGTAAAAGGTTGCTCTTGTTTAGGCATCAATTGGAGTGGAATAAATTAAGGTAATTACGTCATACTTGGGTTTGCTTTTTGCATCATATGAGTATTTATAATATTGGGAAGCGCGGCTTACAAAAAACAGGGGTGAACAAGTACCTCTTTTCAGTTATTAGTACAGTTCAATGTAGTTTGCTTGCTTAACTTGCTTTTGAGCAGTCAGCCAATACCTTGCTCCAAGTATAACGAGAATCGTAGTAATTAAATGTAGCGGTTTGCTTTTGAACTGATCTGTCTAGTGCGTAATGCGCATGTTGTGTTTGGTCACAGGTAGGAGTATCAGAAATTCATGTGTTCCATTTGTAGCAGCTGGTCCAGAATAGTATGAGTAATTCGGATCAAATTCAAGCCAAAACTACTCACATAATTACGCCGCTTCTGTTTTGGGACTTCAGGTAAGTTGACGCAAAATGGCCGGTTGAGGAGGACATGTCAGAAGGAATTTTTGACTTGAGACGTGATTGCGTCCTTTGCATTGTCTCAACTCTTTGGTTTTCGGTTTCCCAAATTTGAGTAGGCTCATCTGATAAGACAAGATTTTTCAATTCCAACTCCCTTGATTCATCCACATCGAGCGCTATATCACCATAGTACGCATCTAAATTGAAAAGCACAAAATGAATTAGAAAGGAGATATGACTACTTACGCATTTGAAATTGCTGATATATTTCACTGTTTATTGCTATAAAAATCGGGGTTCATAAATTCCAACAGAAGCCCGAAACCAGCTTTCGAGGTGTCTTGGACTTGTTTCCGCGGATAAAGAAGAACCAATTTTGGCACGTTAAAAAGTAGATCCGTCAAGACACTGTGTACTTCGCAAGACTGTAGGCATGTACTTCACATTAAAGTACTCCGAGTCAAAACTAATAACCGAACAGTGACGCTAAAGACGAAATCTGCTACTGGATACTAAAGTGAATATTTTCCATCGTATTTACAATTCACTTGACAGCGGAGTTTTCACAGCTTGGAATCATTAGGTTGCTAGAAATCTGACTCCATGAAGAAGTGGTTGATGCAGTCGGATCTGTTGGAGAATTTATTTGCCATCGAGTTGAGCGCCCATGCACGTACCGGAACCGAGGTGGTGGAGTACTCATTTACATCGATCCGTCTTGGTGTATTGCAACAAAATATGTTTCTCGCTTCTCCTCACAGTTGATCAACCCTTAAGTCATGCGATGTAAGCCAAGGTATTTGAATAGCTACTGCTGACTATTGTTGGCTAACACCGACATATCTCACACCTGTCCCAAATCTTAAGCGAAGAATTTCGATGACGAATTTACTTCAGATTTCATCGAACACATCGATCGCTCTCTGTGCATCTTTGGAGGAGATTTCAATAGATGTGACACTACTTTTCTCACCGCGCTCGTGTTGCGAGACATCATCAGCCTGCCTACCAGGTTAAATGCAACCTTCGACCTGGTGTTTGTTAATAATATGAAGTGCTTCTCCGTATGGACTCGGGCTCCAATCGGCATTTCTGACCACACATCAACCAAAATTTCACCTGTCATATATAGCAAGAACAACCACCGACAAAGCAGTCGTAGCAATGATCGAAGGGTCATGTAGCGACAGTGCTGGCCACAAAATCTCGACAGACTTCGCGAAATGATCTCAGCGACGCAATTGAGTTTCTTCTTTGACCTTGAAGTATCCAGGTATTGTGATAATTTGACAAACTATTTAAACTTCCGTTTTGAAACCTCTTGCCCTTTGAAAATTATTTAGGTTCACGCTGAGAGCTTTTCCTCCTTCTCCCTGAAGCGGCTATGCCTGCTTATGAAAGCGTTTAAAGTAAATGACGGCATCTCAGTAAGATCTATCACAGGTAGTATCAAGGACGAACAACACCAACTTACCAAAGCGTATATCCAGTCTGTTCTCGGGAACGGCGGTTGTCGTAAACTCTGGAAGATGCTGAAACTGTTTAGTGGAGTTACTCGACGTGCGCGCTACTTTGATGTAGACGTAGAGCAATTGAATCAGGAGTTCTGCAAGTGTAATACTACTACAACTGCAGAGTCTTCCTGTGCTAAACAGTTGGGGTGTGCTGAACCAATGTCTCCCGTTGATAGTGCAACTGTAAATAATCTACTGAGACATATACGTTCCGGTTAAGCTAGTGGGCCGCACATGCTACCTCCTATCTTACTCAAAGAATGTGCCGATTGTTTGGCACAACCTCTTGTGAGTATATACACAGTGTGTATGCAGCAACACAAAATAGCCGACTGCTGGAAAGTGTCAGCATTACATCAGTGACGAAAGAAGGATCCAACAAACATCGATCTGCCGTGTGCACTTCCGTTGCTTTGAACTTTCTGGAGAAAGTCATTCTAAATATAGTGCCGTCCAGAACGCGCTCTAATTATCCCCTCCAGTCCGCCTATCGTAGTTCGAGGTCTACCCTCGATGCTGGGGCCTACCTCGTACTTTATGTACTCATCGCTTGACAATGGGAATAAAACAGCTCGGATGTGTTTTCTTGACTACGGCAATGCAGTTGGCTGTGTAACCGGCGAATTACTGCTAGAAGAACTACTTACGCAAGGAGTACATCTTTTCATTTTCTATTTACTGTGTGCTTATTTTGCTGAACACACTCAGATCACCCTACTCAGTGGCAGATGTTCCTCCCCACAACTCACCAACGCAGGTGTCTTTCAGGGAGCAATTCTGTCGCCCTCTCTTTTTTATTTATGTCAGATCTGTGCCAGCTCCAACTGAAGAGACTCTGGTAAAATATACGGACGATATCATCCTTGGCATGAATCATCAAAGCGCCGATTGTTCATTCAGATTGCAATCGCTTCTGAACGATCTTAATGGCTGATCCGTGATCTGTCACCTAATGCTTCAAAGTGCCAAGACATTCTTTGTTACTTACTTAAAGGAGCCAGGTGCGTGGAGCTCCTTACACTGTGCAACATGCTACACATTGATGGCGACGGATTACAGTGTTCAACATCAGTAAACTATCTGGGTGTGACGTTAAGTAACGATTTATCTTGGACGCTTCAATTAGAGGAAACATTCATAAACTTAAGGAGGCTGTTATTCGATGTCTCTCGGCTCAGAGACTCCAGTGTTCCTCGTCAGTTGATCGTTCGCTATGTCAATGCCTGTGATTTGTCCCATTGAACGTACTGTTCCACTGTGATCTTTTCAGGTCTTTTGGGTAACCACTTTAAGTTAATTTTCAGATCGTTAAAGCACTTTGCCCGATGTAGCGCTGTTTTGATATCTACTTTTACCAACACTTATTTCTACACACATCAGTTCTTGTAAAAAGCTGGCTTCTTTAGATACTGACGGATACAAGTCATCCCTTGACTTATTCAAATGTTTATCAACTTCGTCTACCAGGCAGAAATACAAGCTATTCTATGCCCGCATACAAGATTATCGCTCGTCAGTCATCCCTTACCTCTTGCGTCTGTTACGAGACCCAAATCTGTCAACTTTCATTTAACAAGTCGAGTTTCAACTTGAATGTGCATTTTGTCCTAATCTACCCATACTTGATCGCATTATTTTGTCACTGATTTTTTGCTACATTGTCGAGATCGTGTGGATTGTAGCTGTATAGTCACCAATGCAGGGGGCATAAAGCAATTTCTTGAATTAACTTGACTTAACTATTGAAACAAGCCACAGCATGTGATTAATGAACAGAGGAAACAACGGCAAAATGTGGTGACATTTAACATGCTGCAATACATAGCTTAATGGCCAACTACAGTCTATCCCGTTAAACTTGGTTTCACTTACGTCAATTGTGCTACTTAAAAAAATACTTTGGCTCAGTCTTTTGTACACAAAATCTGTAACGTGAGGTCTTAAATTGCCACCAGGGAAGAAACGTATCTACAAGATGTTTCACAATGTCCACCATGCCTATACTAAATCTTGGTGGTGAGGACATTTTGACTGATGTTCCCGCCACAAGCCAAGGTCATTAGCCTGAAGTCTCAGAAACAGTAAAATCCATTTGTTAACTCGAAGCTGACTACCATGGGAATCCACAGTGAATCTTTCCTAGCAAAAATGCAAAGTGATCAGTTTTGGTGCTGTTATTGATCCCTGAATAGGTGGGTACAACGGCCGTGACGGAAACTGACGAGCACATCTGATGCCGAAACGCCGTCAGAGGATAATTTGAGACGCAGTTCAACTCTATTCATAACAATAGACTGTAGGTCAGATGTACTCAAAATCAAATCAACGACAGCAGTACATCAGCTGTTTGAACTGATGCTTCGCTGCCATACAACCATGAGGACCTATGAAATAAAGATTAATAAGAGGAAGAGAATGGGGACTTACCTGTACTTACCAGTACGAGCGGCAATCCAGGATGGAAGCACGTCACCTGTAACCTATGGCTACGTGGTCAATTTGGGCCTATCGCTGGCCAGCTACAGGAGGACTCCAAGTGGCATTTCGGCACCCACTTTGTCTAAAAGCAGTGCTACTAAGAAACAATTGGTGCTTCGCACATAGTTGCAGCAGACGCTCGCCGTTGTCAGTCCGTTCGGAGTGAAGCTCATAATTACCACCCAGCTGAGCTTCTGAAGAGCTCAGACGCCTTACTTGTGCCTTCATATCCCCAGCAAGTACTATAAGATCTGAACTAGTAGCACTGCTTAGTAGCGCGTTCAGTTGGTTAGATGTACTAGCTGTAGTTGGATTACTCTACAACACGCACCCAACGTTTGGGTGTAAAATACTACACCGATGTATTCATGCGTCTGGAATACGAATGCACAGCCTACCATGTGTCGAAACTGATCCGAGATGAGCCCAGTCTATCGTAGGTGCAGATCCCAGGCACGCTGCATATTCCTGAAACAGGTGTTCGCGATAAATTATCAGTGTGCGCAAACAGAAAAAGGCAAGAAAAATGGGAATATTTGTCCCGCATTCAGGTTTCACAAACAGGTGGGACTGGAAGTGCTTGGAGCACAAATTAAGAGACTTGGAAGAGGACTACAAAGCTGAAGTATAAAAGTTCGACAGACCAATTCTGTCATTCGCACATAAAGATGGTTTGATCTGGCAGTTCACTAAATTCAGCAAGTAAACAAAAATTGGAAGACGAAAGACTGACAAATAATAAATACACTGGGTCTCATGTATTGATACAGGCCGTCTTTTCTTCGGTAGCCTGAAAATCGCTGTGGTATGGTGAGGGAAAAATATAATCTAACTGGTGCAGAAGCTGTTATTTTTCATGCAAGTTAGTTTAACCAAGTGAGTATCGGTGCGCCAATGTCTTAGGATTGTGCATTGGAACTATTTTTTTTTAGACAAACTGGTATTTCTCTGCTGAGCTAATTCTGATCGCTTTTTTGTATTAATTCGCAGCCGGCTCCAAACCATATGCGTTGCACAGTACGTAGCGCTTTCGACCTATCAATGTCGATCGTACCGGTTCGAATATACTGTCTCTCTATCAGTAGATAGAGCCTGTACACATAAGCGCAGACGATCTTGTGGCAGGTAAACGCAGTTAAGGTGGTTTTCATCCTGACTCCTGACTCTGACGGTACTCTGGGGGACCTTTTGATCGGCCATTTCCA